AGATATTGTTCTGACCATATTTGAGAAACAGAACCTGTAACACCCCTTTGACAGCTGCAAGAGGAGGATGGAGAGTGATAAACAGCTCCAGATTCTCACAGAGCCTGACATGGGTACAAGAAGCCCCAGGGGGAGGAAAATCAAAGAACTCACGTGGTCAGTGAGCCTGAGTGGTGAAGCAGGTGTGTGCAGTCCTTGGCTTATTACCTAAGTTTGCTGTAATTAATGAGCTAAAATGAATTGGCATCCTTGCAAATTAGCAAATATTAATTAAAAGATAAGATAGCAAGGTCATGGAGGTGCATCTTTTTGGATGATAGGAGCCTGTTCAGTATCTAGGAACACTGAGCACTACTAAATTTAGGATGTGGGAAAGAAAGGTGTAGCTATAAAAGATAAAAAGTAGTTTCATCTGAAAATAGCTTTAACTTCAAAAAGCTACCCAGAAAAAGTGCAGCTTCTGAGAATGTGGACAGGATGACCAGAGCAACAAGTCAGGCATCCTTTGGAGATGTTTTACTCCTTAAATAATGGTAAGGATGGGTTAATATGGGAGGTGCCTCTATTGTGAGCTCCTAAAAACCCACGTCTGTTACAGGAAGAGTTGGAGCCAACTTCCAGAGCAGCCAATGATCTCTTCATCTGCAAGGCTACACAGTGCTGCTGCAGTGCCTTTATATCAAAATACACACAGAAATATCTGTTATTTCCCCAGGCATCATCCTTCATTCTGGGGACATTTTGTCTCACTTGGAGGATGGTAAATTTTGCTCCCTTTACTCTCAGTGGTCCTTCCAGGGATCCCATGCATTTTGGGATTGTCTGAAAGTACTGGAGACTGTTGGGAGCCTTGCTGGTCTGGATGTGTGCCAGAAAATATATTGGCTGAATCCTGAAATCACAGCATCTAAGATGATTGCTGCAACCCCCTCATCCCTTTGTTTAGGCTGAAACTCCCCAGTGCCCTGAAGGTATCTGCTGTGTTAAAGTGGCTGGGAAAGTAGAAAATAATAGCAGCTCATAGATCAATTATAACATAGCATGAGAAACTCAGCCACATGTTATAAAATTAAACCAATTGGATTTGTCTGCCTGAATTCTGAGCCTTCACTGTGAGTGAGGGACAGCAGGAGTCAGGCAAATCTCACTTCCAATCCACCCTGAAGGTATTAATCCTCCAACAGGAAGTTTTCTTCTGTGGAAGATTTTCACTGTTTCAGAATGGCTGTTCAGTGGAAAAATCACTTGGTACCAATTGCTTGGACTTCCTGTCTTATTTCAACAAACAAATGCCTATTTCTGTTAATTTAATGGCAAAACCTTCCTCCAAGAGCTAGCTGGCTCGTAGGGGGAGAGCTTTTCTAATTGTGTTTTGGGGACACAAAGTACACAAATCATCTGGGTTATTTCATCCTCTAGTACCCAATCTGACAAGAACACACTGTGCTATGATTAATTCTGTGCTGCTCTGTTATACATGAGATTATCTTCAGTTCATTATCTGTTGCACTGACTAATCACAATTGCCACACATGGGATTATTGCAAGTACTGAAGAGTTGTGATCGTTTTCTTAGGGCTTTTTTTTGTATACAGAGTCAAGAACAAATAGCTTATATTGAAGAAGCAATTATTTCCTTAAACTCAGACCTTCTCTTTGTTAGAAAATGCTAAAGCACTGAGCATGCAGACCTTTATGCACCCACTGGCTGGCTGGAGTAATCATAGTGAACCTCCCAAAAGAGTGTAATGCCTCAGAAATCACAGATTTGGATGTTGCCAATCAGATACCAGTTCAAAGGAGTACCTTGAAAAGGCTGATTCAGAAATGTCTAGGTTTGCTTATTCTCCACTTTGTAGAGAAGAAAGGCATGAAGGACTCACAGCACACCTTAGCTGCAAATATATCTTAAACTCAGATTCGTTTACTTCAGGAGAATTTTATTCTCCTAAAGGAAGAAATGCTGCATACTGAGTTAAAAGTCAGGAATTCAAATTTTCTTGTGAAATGTAAACCTTTAAAAATGAATTAATTAAAAACCTGTGGATGCTGCAGAGAAATTTCCAAAACATTTAGTAAATGGCTCAGCCAGTACTTTGTCCAGGGACTGGATCATAAAAGACAGTGTAAGGAACTGGTAGTTCAGTTCTGCCTGTGCCTCACTCCAGCTGATCCTTATATTCACTGAGGGGACACAAAGTGCCCCGTGCATATAAAATTCACCAAACTCTTCATGATTATTATTTGAAAGACTTTGGGTTGCTTTTGAAGTGTATTTTGTTTGAATTTGAATTTTTAGATTAGAAGCCAAAACCAGACATATTTGGGTTATTGTATTTCTATCTCTGATTGGCAAATCTGCACATTACCTTACACTAAAACTTCATTCTGGTTAAAAGTCTTTGAAACTTGAAACACTTGAAAATGCCATTGCTTTGGCACATGTTTCTGGTCCACTGAGAATGAAGTAGCCTTGAATACATTTTCTAAGCTATGAAGCATAATGTACTTAATTAGAAAGATCAGAAGAAGTATCAAAAATATCCCTTTCCTCCTTTCCTTAAGGCTGTGATTCATGGCTCTTATCACTTGTAATTATAATTATATCTGCCCTCCTCCCTGTTTGCTGGAATTTACTGGCTCTTAGGAAAGGCAGCAGATTGCTAATGGGCCCCTTCCTCAATCACTGCAGTTCACATAGTGATGGATTGAGGTAAAATCAAAAGTTGATGACATTTCTGCTTGGTCCATTAATTTGCCAATTGCAGCAATTAAGAATAAAACTTAACTTATGCCCTTCTTTCTCTCTGGCTATTCAGGCAGAGCCTCTGACTCAGGGAAAACTGTGACTCAGTCCCACAGAGCTTTTGGTAAAACTTAACTTTAGAGTAAAAAAGCCCAGTATCATATTTAAAAGAGTGAACTTTTGAACAAGGAACCACTTTAAATAATGAGAATAATATATTACAGTGTTTTATGTCTCATTAGCACAATGTAGGATGACATCTGCAAAAGCTGCAAGAAGCTTCTTTATGTCCTGGCAAACTATCTGTCATTAAACAGGGCTCTCACATTGTCTAAAACACACAAAATTCATCTTTCCATTTCAGTCTCAGTTGGAGCAGGAAGTTGAATAACAAAATTTTACCAGACACTTTTCATAGAGGATTTGCCACTGTTAAAAAGAAAGGAACTTTCCCCCACTCCTGCCTCTAAACATCAGTTCTTACTTCATAAAAACATGAATGTGTAAAAAAAAATACAACCATGGAGCAATTATTTATGTCAGGAGTTTCCTACATTAGTAATTTCACATTCATTATTGTAATGCAGATGTCAGTATAGAATTATTAATACTCTTAAATTATAAAATGGGACTTGCTCCTAATCCTAAAGACAACAAAAAGCTTTTTAAATGATGGTTTGAGAAGGGAGGCCAAAATCAAGTCCTAAAGTCTTTTAAGACAAATGTGGGTGTTCTTGGTCTCTCCCAGTGTCCTGGCATAGGAGCAAAGTGGTGAAAATAAGGAACATTTTCTGCATGGAGGCAGACCAGGACCTGCTGGAGAAAAACCATCCCCTGGGCTCTGAACACAGAAGTATTGCTTGTGATTTTTTCTCTCTCAGGATGATTTTAGAATCAACCCAGCTCTGACAGGTTCAGGCTGTGAAAGACAAGGTGCACTGGTACAAATGTACTAGGAGTGCAGAGGCTTGAATAAATGATTTGCATCAACTGTACTGATGTTGCATCAAAAATTGTTGTAGAGATTAGGAAAATAATGTTTCTGAACCTTTCAGCCCACCATGTGTGTGGGAAAATGGAAGATTTGCAGCTTTCCCATTAGCAGCCTAATGATGTTTTTATGAAAGCAGAAATGAAAGAAGCAGAGCTATGTGAAGGTAGTGGTTCCAGACTCATTATTCAGGCTTTGTTCTGTAACCTTTCTGTAACCTTTCTAGACTGACTCTGACTTCCTCTTCCCTGTCTTTTTCTTTTTTTCTTTTTCCCCACTCCTCCCCTCCTCTTTTCTTGCTTTTGAACATGAGATTCTCTTCAGATTTTTAGCATTTGTGGATTTGTGTCTTGCTTAGCCCATCCCTCAAGTCCTCAGGAACTTTTATGAGTCTCCAGAAGTTTCATGGGGAGTACAGCTGCTGTTGTTTGAGATTCTTTAACAGCTTGGAAGAGAGTAATTTATGACATCAATCCAAACTATTCAACTCTTTTTGGGGATTTTAGCAGGCGGTGAAGAACCGTGTCCTTTCCTGATAGGAATATTGACCATAACCCATTGAAGAACAAATCATGCAGGGAGATAAAGAGAGGGACCTCCTATGATTTCTTGGTGTGCTGCAGCACAGAATAGGATCTCTCACAGAAAGGTAGAACCATACAAGGAGGATTACCTGGGAGTTTCTTGCATTTTAAACTCCAGGGGTCATGTTCCAAACTTGATGCAGTAAATGAGTCATGCTGGCAGTTTTCTCAATTGCTCAATGATAAAGTTAATGGCAAATCAGGCTCAGAACCATGAACTACATGACAACTACACAATGTTACTGATCTGGTGAAATCAGCACAGCTCCTCTGTCACTTCAGACCAGCCAAGGCACTGAATGTGACAGATTTTGTGCATTGGCTGGGGAAACCAACACAACACAGGAATAAGGAGTAAAATACATGATAACCTGGGGATGTATTTGCATCACCTCTTAGGTATTCCAATTTTTTTTTTCTAGTCGTGTATCTGCCAATTAATCCTTCCAGTAGAGCTGAAGGATTTATAACCTGGTAATTTATAACTGCTAATTTATAACTTGGTGAAAGCCTGAGCTGATGGAGCAGAAGTTATGACCTAGTACAGGGAGAACTTAGATGAGCACAGGGTTTAATTTTTCTGCCACTATTTATTGCTTTCCATCAACAGATCTCTTCACTAAACTAGAAAAGAGGTGGAACATAATTTTAATTGGTTCCTGTGTGATTCTCACAACAGGAGGACTGTGCCATATGGACTGTCTAACTACAGAGGCAGCTTCAGAGGCAAGAGGTCCACAGGGCAGACTCAGGGCGCTCCCCAGCCCTCACTGCGATGCTCCTGTTTGGATGCCCATGACAAGCAGTGTTTGCAGTTTTGCAGAAGAATGCAGGACAGAAGGAGGTGAGTGTCTTTTCCTGTCACTGCAACCTGGCCCCATGATGAGGCCATTTCATGGAGATAAATGAATCAAGATGCATTTTTCAAGAGGAACTGATTAAAAGGTATTGATTTTAAATAAACCTCCCCTCTGCAGTTGTGGTGGGTTAACCCTGGCCAGCAGCCAAGCGCTTCCACTGATGCTTGTTCACTTCCCCTTCAGTGAGATGGGGGAGTGAACAGGAAGAAAAAAAGCAAGAAAACTCCTGTGTCACATCAGAGTTTAATAAGTGAAGGAAAGAGGCCAGAGCCAGCCAGTACTCCTTGGAATTTTCTTTTTTTCTGTTTCTTTTTATGATGTGGTGATTTTGAAACAGCAGATCTGTCCAGTTAGGGGCATGCTGAACATTGCACTGATCTAGAATGTTTTATGCAGTCTAACAAAGAGCATGACATTGTCATTTCATCTCTGGGGACATTGATGAGAACACAGTGACAAGTTTAGGCAATCTCTATTCTACAGAAATCATGGATCAATGAAAAAGACAGAGGAGAAGGACCAATGCAGGGAAGAGGAACACAATTTTGTTCAGTAGCACAGAGAGTCTGGAGGATTCTGAATAAATCAGGTATGTTACAGATGCTTAATGTTAAAAAGAAATATTCATTTTCCATAAATATTCTTTGTATGGTAGAATCCTTATTCTTTCAACTGAATATTATCACTCCTTCCTAAATTAAGGACAAAATTTGGCCCATGAGTTGTTTGGGTGGTTTTTTTTTTCCTAATTTAATTTTTAAAATAAACTTTACTATACACAGAACTGCTACAGCCTTTCTTGTGTTGATGTAACCCCTTCAAAAGTTGGATTATTTGGCTATAAGCCAATACATATTTTGGCTTTTTTTTTAGGTCAAGGGCTGTTCCTGTCTATCATGTTTTTCCTCATTTAGCACTGCAGCAAATTAAGCTACACATCCCAGTGCAGTGCTCCAGTAATAGCTGAAGTGTTAAGGTAAAAAAACAGGAAAAACTTTGTGGAAGAAGTATCTGGAGGGAAAAGTAAATCTGCTTTTTATGTCAGGTATGAGGAAGTTACTGTGACCCAGTAGCCAGTTTCAAATATTGTCACTTCTAAAAAAAGTCACACCAATACCCCAAATTCTTTGCTGTGAAGGGAAACACTTGGATTAGAAGTCCCCAAGCTGAATTTGTTGCTGTGATTATTTGAGCAGAGCTAATTAGAGAACTGTGTAGAGCTTACTCTGTACACATAACCAAGGAGGGCAACCACAATTATCTCAGCTAACAGGGACTTAGTGCTGAATATTCAACAGTTTGGCTCTATTTGTTTGTTGCTTTGTTTTCTTTAAAGCTTTAACATTTATTTGCTGGAGCTCAGAAACAAGAACTTAAACTACAACTCTCCCTTGAGCTGGACAAACTTGATGCTTCAGTGTGATGCCAGTGGAGAATTCAGCAGTAGGCAACACTTCCATTTCAGCAGTGCCCCTCTGAGGGCATGGGAACCTGTATGAAGAAGCTTTTCTCCCCTCGAGAGAGCCTCAGAAAAGGATAATCTTTATCATGTAACCTGGCAGGGAATGTATCACTATTGAGGAAAACTTCAAAGGCAGACCCAAACTTCAGCAATGCAAAGCTTCAGGAAACGTTTTTCTCTGTGATTTAAACAAGTACAATAGAAACTGTTCCACTCACTGTTTGCTCTGTGTCTGAAGAATCCATCCACAGCTCTGTGCAGGCAGCTGCAAGTGGAGAATGTGGAGAGTTAGAGGGAGACTGCCTCTACACCAGTTCTCATTAAGAATAAACAGATATTTCTCTTGTTAATGTATGCAAGCCTGAATCATCATATTGTAACTTTGTGGCAGATGTTTAAATGACAGTATCTATGCAGAATAAATATGAATGGCTAATATAAATATTATTATAAACTATAGCAAGTTAAGAGTATACATTGAGTATTCAATAGATTACCTAATTTAGGCACAAGTTATTCCTGCACTTGGAAGTTCCATTCAAACACACTTACAGTGATTATTTGGGGATGCACTGTAGCTGGTGAACAGAACTTCAGTGATTCATCCCAAAGAATTTCCCTCCAGATGCAAGGCTAGCACTGTGGAACTTGATGCCACCAGAGTCATTTCTGTGCTGGCCATTTGCTGTCCCAGGCCCCTGCAGGTCACACCCACAGCACATCCCCTGGGCTTTGCCAGTGCTACAAATCCCACCTTTATCTCTCCATTGAAACACCAGCACCAAATAACCCAGAAACTTGGCAATAAGGATTAAATCCAACCCTGGACATTTTTCAGTGTAAACAATTTCTTCAGAAATTATGGACTTATTTTTGCTACAAGGATGCAAGAGTAAGCAAAGGAAAAAGAGTAACTTTTGCAAATCCTGTTCTATATTATTTAAAAAGAGAGGAAATCCCTTACTTGTGACATTACAATTTTTTGGGGGGTTTACTGACTTTCATGCAGACTTTCCCCAGGGCACATAGGTTAAACAATAACCCCCTGTTGTTAAATTATATTTTAGAAGAAGAAAGATGGAGACCAAAAGAAAAGTGAAAAGAAATCAACAGTAAAAATATCTATAAAGGGCTTAAACCAGTGGTAATAGTTTTTGTTCAAAACAAGAAAGGGAGGTCTTTGCCAAAACATATGATATATTTTATATATATGTGGATATATTTCATAAATAAATTATTACAGTTATAAAATTAAATATATCTTTCAGTTATTGCATTTGTATCAGTTTCTTACTTGCTGTGTAACTGATTTTGTACATTTATAGAAAATAGATTATTTATTGTATAAAACCACTACACACACTATTTTTGGTATTCTTTTTTAAAAGACATTGTATAGTTTTGGGGTTTTTAAAAAAGAATCAAACTTTGTTATGAAGAATGCTTAATGTTCCTAATGTTCCTTTGTGACCAAAACCTGGAAATTTCTTCCCCTGACAAATCCCTCCACACAGGTCACAGAGCTTGCTGCCTTTAAGGTGTTGATAATTCTCCTGACAGTCTGGGAATTGAGCAGGAAAACAGGAGAGCAAACTCTGTGCTAATAATTATGCATAAAAAGTCATGTTTCAATTTTGTGTCCCTTTTGCTATAACTGTAACCCTCATGTGTCCCCTAACCCTGGGAGAAACAAGGCAAAGTTATTTGTCCTGAGAGTCCTTTTAGGGGACAATGTCCCTGGAGTTCAGCTCCAGTCCCAAACACATCCCAGGACTGCACAAGCCTCCAGAGCCTCCTCAGCTCAGCTTTTACATGACCTGCTCAGCCTGTGGCTGGAATTCTCCTGCCTTCCCCCATGTGAATTCAATTTAAATGTTGCATTTGAAGATGGATTCACACCTTCCCCAGTCCCAAATGCTTTAATTTAATTTTAAACAATCACAGAAAAAGATAAATTTCTAACTGGGTTCTTTATTTGACATGGAGGCAGATTTAGCCCTCGAGTGGTGAGCTACAGATGTTACTGTTGTGTTTTCTCCTTAGGAAAGAGAAATCCCTTTTTTTTTCCATATGAATTCCACATTGAAGGGGTTTGGTTTTGGGACTCTGGTGCCAATGTACCAGTTAATGTAAAAATCAGTCCATTGTGAATACAGCAAAAGAAAGAAAACTAGAAATAATGTTGTGTCAAGCTCAGAAGTGGGAAAATTTAACTGTAGATATTTCCAAATAAACCTATAAACCACAGAATTTACCTGAAAGTTGTGTGTGCTGGATTCTAGCTTTGAACTATCATTATTCCATCTGGGAACAGTTAACAACCATGAGACAGTTTTTACCTAATTTCATGTTTATAGGAAATGTCACCTATAGCATTCCTCATTGACTCCCTTTACCTAATTTTTAATTTGTACCAGAAGGTGTTAAGCTAATTGAAAGTACAACTCTTTAAAAGTCATACACAGAAATAAACTCATATACAACTAATATATGTTTTTAATTAAGAAACAACTCTTAAAATCTGATAAATCATAAAAGGGTTATTTGCAAAAGTTAGAATTAAAGGCTCTTTCATCTTTCAACATGTAATGTTAGCATAGTTAGGTGTCCTCAGAATCACTCTTGTTCTGGGACGTTATTTTGAGGACATTTGTACTTTTACTTTTGTAACAACAAATTGGTTCCAGTTCTTACTCTACTCAATGTAAAACCATATATGTACAAATCTGCTATAATTCTGTCAGAGTTCCATAGCATTCATTCTAATTCCCAGTACTAGAAGTTCAGTTTTGCGTTGTTAATAGCAATAAAAACAATAAATGATCAAAAGCACAGAAAACAATGTCGAGAGGAGCTTTGGAAGAATTTAAGTTTTTATCCTCAAGGAGATGTGAGTGCAACCCCCATGCAAAGGGCTGTGAGGGAGAGGAGAGCCCTGTTTTGTTCCTCTCTTTCCAGAAGGAATTACAAGGAGCTCAGGGCTCACAGCAAAGCCCTTCAGGTAAACTCAGCAGCAGGAGAGGGGGAGTGTCATGGAACAAGGTCTCCATCACCACCTGCACCTCTCCTCCTTGGCTGTGCCTTGTGGCAGCCACAGAGAGTCAGGCAGTGACAGACAGAGGCCACCAGTGACAGACAGAGGACACCAAAGCTGGAAGGGGCCGTGTCCTCCTCCACTGCTGGGTGACTGTTCCCATCCCTGGAGCAGAGCTCATCCCATTCCCTGTCCTTTACAATAAATGGCTCCTTGGTGCTGTGCCTGCTTGTGGGGACACCATTCTGTTGATTCTGATTCTCCCTGCGTCCAAAATTCTTGTGATGCCTGGAAGCCAAGTTCATCTACAGATCCTTCTCCTTTATGTCATCCCTACATTGATCCCCCACTGGCACCATCCAACATTGTTCACACATACTCAGATGCTGTTTTTAGGAGCTGGCTGTCAGAACAGCCAGGCAAAAATAACTCTGCTGTGACAGATTGCTGAGGACAATCATGAAAATTTGATTTAAGACAACAAAATCGTTTGTCTTGACAAAAGTGAAATGCAGGCTGACTTAAGACTGGGTAATGTAACTAAAAGTCATCATTAGAAAAGGAACAAATTCTATCCATGTGAGCATTAAATCTTTCAATCCACAGCTTGAAATCTATTGGAAGAGTAATCAAGGAAAATTGCAAACAGATGACTCTGGAAACAATGTTTGTTTTCACTACTAGAGTTTTACAATGCATAATATATAACCTGATCTGGAGAGCTTTATGCTACAAAGAAATGTCAGAATTGAGAGATTTAACATGCTAAGCAAGTTCAACAAAGCATATTGCACCCTCTGTTTACCTTGCAGTAGTATCTTCCAAACTTTGCTTAAAAGTACATTTTGAAGAGTAGTTTGACTTCCAAGGTTTTCAGCAGTGCTTTAGAGGACAGACGTGCCTTGATGTGCACTTCAAAGCTATCTCTGCAGAGGAGGGATCCATGCAGATTGTAGGTAGCACAACTGAGCTTCAAGAGAGGTTTGGGATGAGGTTCAAGCCTTGGCTCCAGTTTTGCCATGGGAAACACCTCTCTGAAGCCTTGGGCTCTTTCCAGTAGCCTAGAGTGGCCCCAGTGTTCACATCAAACACCCCTCCCCTTATCTAAGTCTTCTGGATTAGTTCCCTCCTTTTATTTCAGTGGGATCCATTTTATAACACACCAGGTGCTGGTCATTTCCTGAAGGCAGCACTTTCAGAAATTAGGGAGATGTGTAGGTCTAAAAACTCCTTGTGCACCTCTGTGCTACTTTAGGGATCTAAATATCTTTACCATGTGCTATCAGTGGTCATTGGTAAGTGGATACCTTGGCTCACACTTCCTGCAGATGTCTCCAGCAACATAAATGGAACTGACTGGAGTTCAAGCCCTTTAACAATAAAGATTAGAAGACTTTGACATTCAGACTCCATTTTCCCCATAAATATTTTTTAAAAAATCCTATATGGACAAGATAATGTAGATACTAAAGGGCCAACATGTTAAACAATGAAATAATCTTTGAGAAGGTGAGGTGTTTTTTTATCTGTTACAGTGGGAATTCCATTAGACTACAAGCCACATTTCTTAAGTAATCATTTCTGCTGAAGCTGGTTCTCAGAGTGTGAAACAGCTCTCCCTTAGGTTACTGAGTATTTATGTGTTTTATTAATGATACTTTTGCCACAGCTTTCCGGTAAATCTTTGCTCTACTGCAACAAATTATAATAACTGTAATTTTTTTTTTATAGTTCCTTTTGATTTAGCTGTCTTGTTTTCACAATTACTCCTCTCACCCCCACCACAAAGAACTGGCTGAACTTGGAAATGTTTTAGTGTCTCACTGCTTCCCTTTGGTGTTCCAGGCCTGGCAATTTGTGTTGCTCTAGAGAAGAGCTGCCTTCATTTACCACTGCAGGCCCTCAGTTATGCAAATACTTCCAATGCAGATGTGAAGAGGGTGGGAGCCTTTTGTCATTAAAAAGTAAATGTGCAAACTATTGTAGTAATATAAAATATATATTGAATGGCTAGTGCACGAGGTGAGCTACAAAACCACAGAAAAGCAGATGTAAAAATCAAAGCCCAGAGGCTCCATTAGAAGATTCCTGGAACTATGCATATATTTATTCAATTCTGATATCATTAAGATGCAGTTCCCAAAGAGATGGTTTTTAAATCTGTAGTTTGTTTCCCCATATCTATCACAGAAGAGGAATCCATTAATGTCACAATGAAGCCAGTTTCCAGCTCCTTCTGGTGTCAATTTGGATCGTCATGGGTCAGCTAAAGGTCACGTTTTCAGTGGTTTTAAGACACTACAACTGAGAACCAGATTAAACCTAAGCATTTCAATTCTTAAATGTAAAAATTTTCTTTATACAAATCTGCTCATGAATTAATACATTCAAAACACCTGTACCAGTTCCTAAGGGTTATCTTTGATTAACATTCTTCCTTTAAGCAAAGTTCCAAAGAGCTTGGATACTCTGTATTTGCAGGAGCACAGAAGAAAAATGAAAACTGGAGGAGAGGAAATCCTGCACCAGAGTTCAATAACCCCTGAATCATAGTTCTGATTCTGCTATCTCTCTATGGGATCTTGGGTAAATTACTCAGGCTCTTATTGCAGACACTGACACAAGGGCAAGACCCAAAGCTGTGTTTGTGTTAAGATCCCTACAGAGCAAGTCCTAAGCCATGCTTCTCTCTAAGTAACATTTTTACTTATAAATGCTTCTGGTCATCTTTGAGAACACGGGAAGGATCAATGTCTTTTGGTGGAACTGTCTCTGCACCTCTGATTACTTTGAAAGAACTGATCAGCTACTGCCTACCAGAAACAAAAAGTCCCTAAAATACTACCATAAAGTCCCTAAAATACTACCATAAAGTACACAGAGGAGCATGCACACAGCAAAGAGATTGTTTGGTTCTGGTGGTGATTCAGAGCAGAACCAAGGCATAGCACAGGTCTGAGTTGGTCATGGCTGCCTGTGCACTCAGACACACATTGGCTGTCTTGGAACAACCCAGGATTGCTTTGGCTGCTTGGCTCCAGTCCCCCACGTGCCTTTGAGCAGAAGGGTCAGAAACACTTTTAAAAGAGCACTGACGTGTTATTACCAACCTAAACTGAGGAACTGTAGCATGAAAGGGCCATGAAGTGGCATGAAAAACTCACTGGCAATGCACATTCCCTGCAAAAACCCCAAAAATCAAACAATGCCCATGGTGTTCACTGTGGCCAGGTGCTCAGAAAAATCTCAATATTGCCACTGGGACCAGTAATATTGAAATGCACGTCCCACTTGCTTTGTGCATTCTCTGAGGTACCCCTTGGTGTAGGATCCTGCACATCTCCTTGGGGGCAGCCCAGGGGGTGGCACCAACCAGGCTGTGCTTGCCAGGGAAGGGCGCAGTGAGGGCACCAGGCCCTGTGTCAGGACATGAACTTCCATGAACTGCGCTACCCAAGCCAAGGATTCCTGTCAAGGGCGTTTTACTGCACCAGTGTTTATTTCATTGATATTGCAAATGTGTTCTCCCAAGGATCACGGAGCAAAGGGAGTACACATGTTTTACCAGTTACATGCACTGCCTTCAGAACAGTTCTCAGAGCCTTTATTTCCACATATGCAGCACTATGATTTGGTTTATTTAGAAAGGCAAGGTCGGTTGCCAAGCTCTTTCTACTATGCCTGTCTCACTGTGTGAAAAACACCAATTTCAAAACAAACATTGCTTATTGGAAGAAAATGAGTTCAAAACTCCTCTTTCCTAATTTTCAAGAAATGCTGGTAAAGGAAGATCATGGCACAGCTACAGTGTCTGAAGTAAGAATCCTCCAGCATCTGTCACCTCTGCTGCAGCAAGAGGAGCTTCAGAACAATCTTTCAACAACTCCTTTTTTCCCCATTTTTTGCACAACTGCCAGCATTCTTGATAAATATTTCTTTCCTCAACTGGCCTGAATAAGGTATGACTTTTTTTAAGCAGCACTTTTATAACAGGGTTGTCTAACAGTCTGAACTGGAACTTCAGCCATCCAGAACGTTCCTAAGTTGTCAACTCCTATTTTTCAAGTGTTCCTTTGTTTGTAAACAGTGAGTAGTTTTCATGCCAGTTTTTGTGCTTCATCTGCTTCCCCTACTGCAGATTCCATTGTCTGCAGATCTCACTTCTGGAAAACAGTCGTAAGATGTTTATCAACTACAATTTTCACTTTAAAGCCTCAGAA